ATAAGGCTACTCCAGGTGATCTATGAATATTAATTCCCATTACCGAATAAATGAAGTTAAATATTCGGATCCAAAATCTATTAACCACAGGACATTTCCACCATATGTGGAGCATAGTGCCCTCTTGTCCGCAGTGTCGAAACAACTGGGTGACACAGATGGGTACATTTTAGCAAGACGTGTATGAACTAAATACCAGCGAAGAAGTGTTTTATAATTAGATTCAATAAGTGTAGTATTTATCAAAAGTTTATATAAAGCATTGGCTGTAGTCCGCCAAGTGTCCAAATCGAGAGAGCTATTCAAATCCCTTTCCCACTGAATCATATAAGAAATCTTGATATGTGGATCAACAAGGGAAGCAGAAATATTAGATAAACAGCCTTTCCCCATCCCAGTATCCCCACAGGAGATCTCTAGAGGTGTGAGTGTACAGGGTTCTACTAATAATTTGAGTTTACTGGTGATAAAAGATATAATTTGATGGTATCGAAATAATTCACTAGAGGGCATCTGACATTTTGTTCGAAAATATTGGAGAAAACAAGGATGAGGTCTATTCAAATAGTTCCCAATATGCAAAAATCCCTTATTGAGCCACCATTGAAACACAGATGGTGTTAGACCAGGAGAAAACTCATGGTTGCAAAAGACTGGAGCTAGAGGGGTATGTAGGAAAAAAGAGGCTTGTGGGCTCGCCATCTATCCCAGACCGTTAAAGAATAGGATAACGTAGGACAAAGGATAGGAGGACACAACCAACTGGGAAGCCACATGAGGGAGCCAATAGCATAGGGACGGCAAGATAGGGCCTCAATGCCAACCCACTGAGGAACATAACCCCTAGCAGTAGTACAAGAGAACTGTGCTATCTGAGCCACCAGAAAATAAGTCAGAAGATTAGGAAGTCCCAAACCGCTATGCTTTTTTAGGGAAAATTAAGTCAACTTGTTAACCCGAGGAAGTTTTCCTCTCCATATAAATCTAGAGACTGCTGCTTGTAAAAGTAAAAGTTCCCGTTTGGGTACCATGATCAGCAAAGTCCGAAAATAATATAAACGTCTCGGTAGAAATGTCATCTTAACAGAATTAATTCTACCAAACCAGGATAAAGGAAGATCCTCCCAATCATGTAAGTCAGTCTTAAGTCATTTAAAGAGAGGGGGGTAATTGGTCTTATATAGTGACGAGATAGAGCTCGTGAGATGAATCCCCAAATAAGGGAGAGAACGGGGGGTCAACTGTAGCTATTTAAAAGAAGTAGGAGCCCTGGATTCACTTGCTGCATACTTGACTACCAATTCAGACAGAAATTAAGCCAGAGGAGCAGTATGGCTGGCATCTTCCAGAAGCAGATCATAAATGGAGGTCCATTTTGCTTTCTTCATGTGTTTCATTTTACAGTCATGATACAAACATGAGTTATTTGACATAAATAAATAATTTGACCATCTAAAAATTCTGGTCATACCAGCATAATATTTTATGGCAAACCACATGCAATACGATATTTACTTAACACTTGGTAAGAATGAGGGTAAAGACTGAATAATTATAGTCAAAACAGATATAAAATTATTACCAAATTCAAGAATAGCTCAAAATGACAGGCTTACAAAAGTGCATAATCAAAAACATTTCTGTATATAGCTGCTCTAAATTCAGAGTTCTCATAATAACATACAGGTGAGAGAACATCAGTGTGAGAAGGAATGTCAGCTTTCCATAATACACAGTTTAATGTGTCATCCAAAACTAACTGAGCCAGGTGTGTGTGTACACATAAACCAACAGTGCCCAGGACATTGCAAAATGAATGCATGTACTATATGCCCTTGCATGGCATGAATAGAACCTTAGAAATGGGCCCAAGCTGTGTTGTCTGCACATCTGTAACTGAAAAATAAAATGCAGAACAGAGGGTGCAATGTCACTAAGTTCTAAATGTGACAATAAAAATGTCCTACAGCTGAAACAGGTGACTGTTAGTGTCTCATCTATTCCTGGATTGGCTTGATTTAGTGAAGCAAATGCATTCTAAACTATCATTTTATGAGTGTTCCATGTTATTATAAACACTGCGTAATTCATATAAAGGATTTTTTTTCAAATATAAAGGGAAATTTACTGCTGATGCCATGCTGTTTTCAAACAGAACAAAAACGAAATGTAAATGTTGCTTATATAAAACTATAATGGTTTTAGCTTCATTTTATTTTTTAAGGTTATATGTTTTTTTTGTCATCTGATTTTTATACTTTTTTTTCTACTATGTATGGAAAAAAACAACACTGGTCAACATTTCCTAAACCTGTTTAGGAAAAAAATTGATTGGCTGAGATGGAATTTTCCAGTCAACCACTATTGCTTCCTTCAAGATGGAAGACACCTACAGCGCTCCTCCTATATTCTCTATAGGCGCAATGACGCAAATGTACCCGTTGTGCATGTTTGAATAATAATTTCTAAGAATGAGTTTGTCGGCTGCATTGTGTATGCAAGACTAGTTTTTTCCTGTTTTTTCCTATTTTCTTTTTCAAATATAAAGTGAAATTCACTGCTAATGCAGTGCTGTTTTCAAACAGAACAAAAACACAATTTAAATGTTGCTAATATAAAACTATAATGGTTTTAGCTTCATATTATTTTGTAAGGTTATATGTTTTTTTTTTTCAATTGATTTTTATACTTTTTTTCTACTATGCATGGAAAACAACAACACTGATCAACATTTCCTGGCCAAACCCGTTTAGGAAAAAAATTGATTGGCTGAGATGGAATTTTCCAGTCAACCACTATTGCTTCCTCCAAAATGGAAGACACCTACAGCACTCCTCCTATATTCTCTATAGGCGCAATGACGCAAATGTACCTGTTGTGCATGTTTGAATAATAATAATTTTTAAGAATGAGTTTGTTGGCTGCATTGTGTATGCACGATTAGTTTTTCCTGTTTTCCTATTTTTTTTTTCAAATATCAAGGGAAATTTACTGCTAATGCCGTACTGTTTTCAAACAGAACAAAAACAACATTTAAATGTTGCTAATATAAAACTTTAAAGGTTTTAGCTTAATTTTATTTTTTAAGGTTATATGGGTTTTTTTTTGTCATTTGATTTTTATACTTTTTTTTCTACTATGTATGGAAAAAAACAACACTGGTCAACATTTCCTGGCCAAACCTAGTTAGGAAAAAAAGTGATTGGCTGAGATGGAATTTTCCAGTCAACCACTATTGCTTCCTCCAAGATGGAAGACACCTACAGCAATCATTCTCTATAGGCGCAATGACGCAAATTTGCCTGTTGTGGATGTTTGTTTAGTAATCATTTCTAAGAATGAGCTTGTCGGCTGCATTGTGTATGCACGACTGGCTTTTTTCCTATTGTCTGATGGTAGCTTTATCCTTCTTAAGCCTCAAGCTTTAGATATCTTTCGCTGAAAAAAATGACAGCATGCAATCCTGCCTTTCATAGGATAAACAGTATAGATCTGGTCATTTCGTACTCTGCTACAGTGATAAGTGTTCTACTAACAAAGCAAATGTCAAAGACACACATGAATAAACAGTAAACATTTGCAAAACTTTTAATTTCCATTTTAAAATATTTTGTGCAGTTTGCTCAATCCACTTAGCAAATCTAACTTTGCATAGTGACATGTAAATGAGTTCTGCACTGACTGGATACAGATGTAAACAGTGGAAAGGGTTCAATTTAGTTTTCAAATGAGCTGATTATCTGGCAAAGCAATGCCTGTCAGTGAGAACAGAATGATCTACAATTTCACCTAGATACTATACTGATCAACTCACTCAGCCATACAAATTCTGTATCATTTACTTCAACAACTGTGAACTATAGATAATGATATTTATGTAACTCTCTTATTTCCACAGTTTTACTTCCTTTTTGTACTAGCCACAAATGAGTCTTATATGATATAAGGTGGATCAGTGGTTAGCAGCCATGCAATACTTTATGAGGGTTTTAAGTCCCACACTAGAGATTGCTTACCTCCCTCTTTGCATAAATTTTTCTGCTTGCTTCAGTTTTCTAACATCACCTAAAGCGATAATGGTAATTAAAATGATTTCTGCTTAAAGCAAATTTGTGGAGATGCAATGGGCATTCAAGCATATAGATATTCTTAGCAGTGAATAAGCTTTAAAACAAATTCTCGCTGAGATCTGTAGCTGCAGGCATTGAGGAGCAATTCACCCTCAAAGCTCACAGCATAAATCAATGAAGTTATTCAAGTTGGTTCTCTTAGCAGCTCAGCTTACCTTCAGCCTCCCAGAGCACTTGGATTGGATTGGATTGTATATTAGCGGACTGGAAGGCAGCCATGTAGGGATAAGTTGAATTATGTCCCTGTAAAATTATTGATTTCACTCCTTACAGTGGTTCTAAAGGGTCAAGGTTTTTTTACCTTCATGTATTCTATGCATGATGTTAAAAAACCTTCTGGGTGCAGCAGCCCCCCCCCCAGTCCTTACCTGAGCTCCCCTCAATCCAGTGATGTTCTCAACAGCCTCTGTTGTCTGGGGACTCTTCCTCCTCATTGGCTGAGACAGTAGTGGGAGCCTATTGGCTCAATCACAGCCAGTGAGCCAATGAGGAGAGATTGGGGCGGAGCCACAGCTCTATGTGTCTTATGGACGCATAGAGCAGCGGCTCAGGCATGAGCATGTAGCGGTTCCCCTTAGGGCGAGCGGCCTTCCCTGGGGGCACTGCTTGAGAGAGAGGAGCCAGGAGCGCCAGCAGGGACCCAAAAAGAAGTGGATCAGAGCTATGCAAATTCACTGCACAGAGCAGGTAAATATACACATGTTTGTTATTAAAAAACAAACAAAACAAAAAAAACAAAGCTATAGTGTCACTTTAACTGCTTTACATCCACCCTATAGCAGAAGTACTGCGGGTATGCACGTATATATACACACGAGACGGCCTTGGCTGTCAATCACCGGGTCCAGGCCAGTGATTACTCGCTGGCGCCCGGTGATTGCCGAGCATCTCCTATGTGGGGGGGGGGGAGAACTGTTTGTAAACAAAACAGTTCTCTCCTGTCAGCTCCTGCACAGTGCTTTGCATGGCTGTGTGTGAGATGGGGAAACAGCTCTCATTGTTTGAATACTGCATGTGGGGAGTAAATTAAATGTTTTGACTGACATTCTGCAGTTGAGCCACAAGATGTCACTGTTTTTCTAACAGAGCCTCAGACTGCATAGAGATTTCTATATTCATGAAGAGGTGGAGTTTTCACACAGAGGAGAGAGAGCAGCCATGTTCTGGAGAATGGTGAATGAGGGGGGCCGTGTGAGCTGAGAATCTGATGACATCCAGGTGTGAGAGCACCCCTCAGTAACCAGAGATTGCTGCCAGGAAGCTGATGAGATTGCTGCCAGGAAGCTGATGAGATTACTGCCAGGAAGGCTGATGAGAGCAGAGGAACTAAGCAACATATACGGCAAGACCGCATGCTTGTTGGAGAGACATTTGTTCTGTTCAGAGTCACAAGCGGATGGAAAGCAGACCCAGGTCGGTAAGATCATGCACGCACCTCATTTCAGTGTTGGCGCTTTGAGACTGAGTCCAGGCCTAAAGTTAGTTAGTTAGGGTCTCTGTGTCAGGTCACAAATGTTGTTACTGATTATTGGAAGGACTCCAAAACTTAAAGTGACATTTCACATTAGAGAGCTGATAAAATCCTATAAACTCAAGCCAGACTGGCGCTTTGCTCAGAAGGAATACTCAGGCACGTGCTACAGGACCAGTTATGGGAGGGGGAATACTGTAGATTTGTATAAGATTGTAAGCTGTTGTGCTGCACTGCAGGCTAGCCCATACTGTACAGCCATACACTGATTCCTGCTCTTTTAGGGTAATAACAGGTAAGGTGTGGCAGCTTAGTTGTGCCCGCCAGTAGGTAAATTACTTCACTTTCTACCTTCATCCATCAGAAGGCGCCGTGCTGTGCAGCACAAGGGTCTCAGCCTTTGGGCTGGGTGTATGTAAATTTATTGTATGTTTCCAGCATTTGTGGTTGTGCTTATTTGCCACATCTAAGTAAAATTCTGTTGTGACAAAAGCTGGTGTTGGGGTTGCTTTCCTCGTTCGTGACTTCACTGTATCCTGGGGAGCCCACCCCGGTACACAGCTTACAACTGCATTGCACAGCCATGCAAAGCAGTGTGCTTACAGTGAAGCACAGTCACAGCCCAGTATGTAAAACAGCACACTGTTAATCCTTTGATCGCCCGTCATGTTAACCCCTTCCTGCCCAGTGCCATTAGTACAGTGTCAGTGATTTTATTAGCACTGATCACTGTATTGGTGTCACTGGGGATGTCAGTGACACCAAGTCAGTTCCCCCCAGTGTCAGAATGCCCTCCGCAGTCCCGCAGTTCCGCTATAAGTCGCTGATCGCCGTTATTACTAGTAAAAATAAAATCCCAGTATATATACCGCTATTTGTAAACGCTATACATTTCACGGAAACCAATTAATTTACTGGACATGTTTAATAGCAAAAAGTTGTCCATGGAAACCCATTCCACGAAGCTCTCTATGCACTGAAGGCCACACAAAGTTTGGAGGTCTTTAGCTATTGACTCTGCAGACAGTTGGCGACTTCTTTGTACTGTGCTCTCCATGCGCTGACCCCACTCTGTCATTTTACATGGCCTACCACTTCGCGGCTGAGTTGCTGTTATTCCCAGTTGCTTTCACTAACGTGGAATACTTAGTAGCAAGGAAATTTCATAGATGGACTTATTGCACAGGTGGCAACCTATCACAGTACCACACTTGAATTCATTGAGCACCTAAGAGTGACCCATTCTTTCACAAATGTTTGTAGAAGTAGTCTGCATGCCTAGGTGCTTGATTTTATACACCTGTGGCCATGGAGGTGATTGGAACACCTGAATCCAATGATTTGGAGGGGTGTCCTAATACTTTTGGCAATATATTGTCTCTTCCTGCTAGGTGCCTTAAATGCATGTGTTTATGTTTGTGATAGTCATTAGACTGTAAACTCTTTTAGGGGTAGGACCGATGCTATTAGTGTTCATCACAGTGCTGCTGAATATGTTGTATCCATATAACTGAAAATCATTCAATAAATGTCATTACGATGATCTGCCAAGCATACAAGTTTATGTCAGTGGGAAGGAGGAAGGTGAAAGAGGAAAGAACGACTCAATAGGTGCTAGCTTATTGGGAAGGCTTTAACAGTTAAAACAAGTTTTTCTTTTACCTGTCTACAGGGCCATCTTAATAGTATCCTGGGACCCTGGGCAAAGTAATGCACAGAACTCCTACAAGCCTGCCCCAATTTACAGACCTACTCTCCAGAATACAAGTATAAATAGTTGATAGTGCTGATCCCCGCTGGGGAGGCAGATGGCAGGTGTGTGTCTGCTCCACCTATGCAGAGCAGACATGGACACAGCCTGCTTTCCTCTATGGAGCAATGGATGTAAATGGACTGCCTGTCTGTTTACATCCAACTGTCATCTGATCCAATCCCCATCCATCAGTTTTTAGTGGATCGGATGCAGGCCAGTGTAATCAGACACAAGTCTGCTTACATCTACAGCTCCATAAAGGACAATGGATGGTCCATCTGAAAAACAGACAGGCACATCCGATTGGTCCACCCATGTGAAGAGTACGTCAGCTGACAAGGCAGCAGCTGAAAGTGTACACATGCTCCAGTCATGATGCTTTGCTTTGTGACTGCTGCAAGAATTATATCACCAGTTGCATTTGGTGGACACTACCGCTCATCAAACACAACCCTTGCAAATAAATGGGTCCCTGCTGCAACTTACCCACAATCATATGCAAAGCACGTGGTTGTGGTGGGGGTGTTTACAACATTTAGGCGGTTAAAACGGGTGGTGAGGCGACATAATGCTTCCTCACCACCTGTCAAATACCTCTGATGAGCAATCCGTGTGTGGATTGCTTTTCAGAGGAGTGCCAGTCTTTTGCAGTCAGAGACTCAGAGAAGCAAGGGCAAGAGAGGGACATATGCATTTTTCAAGGTGGGTGGAAGGGGGTATTTTGACAGTGTACTCACCATTTCTGTAGCTTTAGTGTGTGTGTCCTCCAATTGAATTTGTTGCCTGCTGCACTGCACACACACTGCATCCACATCAGGGGGTGGGTCTACAAGTGCAGGCACAGCAGGGATTGGCTACATCAGCTCCCTTCTCTGTTCACTCTGAATCCTGTCTTTCAATATCTCACTCACAGGATTTGTGTGAGTGAGGTATTGAGTGACAGGGTCGGAACAGGCAGCCACAGACAGAGTCCTGTCTGAGCGGCGGGTGGATGCAGAGCTGCCAATATTCAGCACTGATCACACAGAGAGGCTCAGGTGACAACCCAGCTGATCCTAGAGATGGCAGGCGAGCAGAAGATGCCACCGCCTGCCGGACTGGTGCCTGCTCAGCCTTAGCGCTGCTGCTAGTCCTACGTTCTGCAGTGGGCAGATTGAATATCATTCCTGGCACCTGACCTCAGCACTGCTGGCTATCCCCATAGATCATTGGAGTGACAGAGCTGGCCCTGATGGCGCCCCATGTGCCCAGGGGTACCCACACGGTAAGATGGCCCTGCCTAGCTATTCTCTCCTCACAGTTAATGGGCTCCAAGAAATACAAGAACTTCAGAAGAACATTATTTATCTTTGGATTATTATTTAGTATATTTTATATTTTGTGTTTGGAATTATTTGACACTTTATTTATGATTAGCGCATTCCTTTTATTATTGAGAACTTCAGAAGAAGACCTGTTATTTTTGGCCAGTCTGCGCAACTATGATTTCATGTTAAAAGTTTGTTAACTAAAATGTATATAGAAACAGTGCCATTTATTTTATAGCATGTTCATGGTTGTTCTGCGAAGCAGAATGCGCAATAACTTTCAGTATTGTAAAATGTGTGGCAGCTAGAACCAAATGCCGAGCTTAAAAGTATTCATATTACTGCTGTGGCACCAGACATCGAAAAGTGAGAATGCCATGAATATACATTCAAAATATTTATCACATTGTTGTGCTTTTAGGCCTGGTTCGCACCAGTGCGTTTTTTAGTGCTTTTTGCAAAAATTCACTACAGTCCATTTAACACGGTTTCCTATAGGAAATGTTCACATCTATGCTTTTTTTTTGAGCTGCTGCGTTTTTGGAAAGGATCAGGGACTTAATTGTAGCAAAAACGCTGCTTTTTGTACTTAAAAGAGTTAAATGGTGACGCTGTTATAATGCATGCAGTGCATTTTTTGCTGCGTTTTTGCCATGTTTTGCGTTTTTGATCTGCTCAGCAACAAAAAATTTCCCCTCTAACCAACAAAAAAGCTGAAAAAAAACAAAACGCAGCAAGTACGTGGCAAAAACACTTGTGTAAAAATACACTGGAAAATGCACTGCAAAACAGACAAAATGCACAATGCATTGGTGTGAACCAGGCTTTAACCTTTTGACATCAACCGCACACATATATGCGGCGCTCGTTATGTGGGTCTTAATGCTGAGTGGCTGCATACATGCGGCCCTGTTAAAACTACTTACTGTGCATAGAACACATTCCTTGCACACTCTCAGCATGGTAGCAGTGATTGGTAAGCTCCCGATCAGGGGCGGACTGATAATTCATGGGGCCCCTGGGCAATAGGGGATCATGGGGCCCCTGTTGCCTTGCTCACACTCAAAGCACACCCAAAAAAGCCTATATAAATGTACCAGGGACATTTCATGGGGCCCGCTATTGACCCCGGGCCCTCGGGCAGTGCCCGAGTGCTCGAATGGTCAGTCCGCCCCTGCTCCCGATGCATACTTGAGATCGGGAGCTTTCCAATTATGTGACCCCTGTGACAGCCAAGGGACGAGGCCAAAATGCATTATTGGATGTCTGTGATCTTAGACCACTCAGCACTGCATTAACCTCCCTAGCGGTCTGATTATGTCAATATTTCTGTGCTCAAAGCGGTACATTTTTTTGCATGGAAATATGTTGTTTTTTTATTGTAGGCCTGTAATTCTTAGGAATAACTCACTGAAATCTGTCCATAAAAAAGTATAGTAAAACATCTCGGGTATGATAAAATTTTAAACACGAAATCATAAATTATAATATAAATAAATAATCATAAAAAATAATAAGATAATAATAATACATTTTATTCAATAATGTAATCAAACCAAAAACACTGAAATTTGAAATATAGCGCCACGTTCGCACATCACTGAGCAAAGTCGCAAAATCGTTTTCAGTGTCTGATGACGAATTTCCCTATGAATCATTATCACTCAATTCTGCAAGTGGTTCTAATTCACTATCGCTGTTCTCTAGCTGGTCTAAAACCACTTTTGACCTAAAGGGACGCTTTTTGGAAGCCATAGACATTTCTCAGTTTCCAGGCAGAAAAAACAGTAAAAATACAGGCAGGGCACAGGACAAAGCACTCGGGACAAAATGTATGTGAAATGCTTTGATACAGTAATGTTTTACTATGTGATTTTAGTGTATTGAGTGAATGTCACTTTTAACATTTTTGAAGATCCCGCCAGTTCCGTCCCCCGTATGTCCCGACGCTCGCAGGGAACGGAACCCGGAAAACGGATGCAGGCATCGGCTGGAGGAGATGGCCGGGGATGCTGCAGGGGGGACATTGCGGGAGTGCAGGACAAGGTAAGTGATCAAGGGAATCCCTGAGCGGCGCTGCAGGGTATTCCCGAGTGTAGCTCGAGGATACCGCTTTTGGTACTGAAACTTAAACCCGAGCTACACTGGGGAATACCGCCAGGGGGGTTAAACACAAGCATGATTTCTGTGATGGACATCACTGTAAGTCAAGATTTCTTCCAAAAATCACTGTCTCTGAACGCAGTTCACCATGACATCCAAAAGTTAAAGTTCTTTCATGCAAAGAAGAAGCCATATCAGAACATGATCCAGAACCGTTGCCATCTTCTTAGGGCCAAATCTCATTTTGAATGGTTTGTTGCAAAGTAGAGAACTGTTCTGTGATTGGCAGCCATGAGTGTTGCTTCCTCTGAACTAAAGAGGAGAAGGACTTTCTGGCTTGTTATCAGTGCCCACTTCAAACGTCTGCATCTCTGATGGTATGGGGGTGCATTAGTGCCTACGGAGTGGGCAGCTTTCTTTGGAATGGCACCATCAATACTGAAAGATATATCCAGAATTTAGAGCAGCATATGCTCCCATCCAGATGACATCTTTTTCAGTGAAGGCCTTATATATTTCACGAGGACAGTGTTGAACTGCATACTGTATCTATGACAACAGCATTGTTTTAGTAGCAGAGTCTGGGTGCTTAATTGGTTGGCCTGTAGTCCAGATCTTTCACCAACTGAAAATATTCTGCACA